GTCTAAAAGCCCTTCACCACAAAAACGTCCACGTCTGCTGCAGATTTAGTACATGATGGGTTTAAGAGACCTCCTGCATGTTGGGTGACACCAGACAGATTGCTGACCTAGAACCTAGACCTAGAACCTCAGACTCCACCAGTAGAAAGTTCTAATGGGCATAAAAAACACAATGAGATCTTAATGTTCTGTACAAAATAAGACTGGCTGCTTTATTAATGAGTCCCATGGAGAACAATACAGCCTCACTCACTCGCTCGCTCGCTCACACACACACAGGGCCTGGGCACTGGGATGAACAGGAGCACATCAGCCTCGGCTGTGGGAGTAATCAGGACACGAGTGGGTACGCAGACAGGATGTGACATCATTAGCGGACCCCCTGAGGGCCCAGTAAGGCCGGTGGACAGTTTCTGAGGTGACCCCTGTGGGTGACAGCCTTGCCTCTTGGGTTCGGAGGCCTAGAAATGGCGCCAGAGCAGAAAGGGGGCGTCCATCTCCAGCTGCTCCACGTCTCACGTCATTCGGTTTGTGTAGAACTGCAGCGAGGCTGGTTCAGTCGGGCTGTGTCCCAAACGCCAGCTGTGGCCCTTAAATGCATGCACTGGGCGGACTTGAGGAGAGCATTACATGCAAGCTCATCGATAGCTAGAGCACTAGGCAACAAGTGTGCAAAGGAGAAGGCACTAGACACGGAAAGAGGACAGTAGGTAGTGAGCATGCAGAAGGGCTAATCAGAAACATGGCGGGAGGTTTTACTCATCGTTACTATTCAAATATACACAAATACAGGCCTGTTTAAGACGGAACAGCAGTGCCACCACCAGCTTCACCTGTGCAGCAGATTATTGGGTCAAATTTGTTTATCTGATGATCAATCGGCTTGTTAGTAGGGGCCTCAGAACGCGCAGTGTTGAGATGAAATGTGGTGTGAATCAAGGTTTTACAGCCTAAAGAATGTAGGCTATAAAAACGGGTTTCGTCGCTGTCAGAGCAAAACCTCACATCTCCAAAATGATAACTTTACAGGAGAAGGAAAAAAACATCCTTTACTTCAATGGAACCAGACTCTTCTTTGCTTTTTTTGGTCCAGTCATTATGAAATTTACACATAATCTGAAGGGCAACTGGCATCTTTAAATGATGTAAGAAAAAAAAGGTTTTTTTCTGACAGCAGCGATCTGCGATCTGTGACTGGCCTACACTGGCAGACAACAAACATTTAGATTCGTTGATGTTCCAGCTTGAAATGCTATGTAACGAGCTGGGCTGCGTAGCCGAAGGCAAAGGCAGAGAACTTGCCAAAATGCTAAAGATAGCATTTCACATCCAATCTAGCCTGATGGCTGGCAAAATTCCAGCTGATCAGATGATATACATATATAACATATATATCGCTGTTATCAGAAGAAGTCAGTATTTCCATATTTGTCATTTTTAAATTTTTGTCATAGTTTGAAAATGCCTGCTGTCCTTTACATTGTGGGTAAATTTAATGAAGAATGGACCAAAAGAAACGGCCCAAAATTACTTGGAAAAAACTCTGGTTCCATTGACTTACATTGAAAGTGAAGCAGATTTTTTCCTTCTCCTGTAAAGTGGCCATTTTGGAGATACAAGGTTTTCTTCTGACAACAGATATATATATATATATATGACATTTTCATGATACACTTCATCATGAAGTTATATTTTTGTTATATCGCCCATCTCTAAGCCAGTGCTAGCCTTCTGTATACATGCAAATTAAATATCTGAATGAATAACAGTCCAAAAGTACACACTGTGGCTAAAACTTGCCTCATTGGGCTGAATGTGTTTTTACCAGCGTTCTGCAGCTACAGAAGTAGCGTTAGAGAGCACAACTGGACTTCCACCCAAAATAAGTGCTGTCATTTGTTCTGTTCCTCCTGCATCAAAAATCTATCAGAGTGCCGAAACCACAAAGCTGGCGTGCTGTTCCGCCCCTACTCACGAGTGACCGGGACCCTCCAGTCCTTCTGATTGTACTCATCTTCTTCTGTGGAGCAGACAGTGAGCATGCAGGGCACGAGAAAGGGAAGAGCACTTAGCACAGGTGAGCACGAGAGGCGTTTGAGACACAGCCAGACTGCAGTAACGATGAGGTGAGTGGTCACGGGGTCGTGAGTCAGCTGACCCCAGCACACCTCTTTAACAGTACTGCCCTAAAGTGCAAAAAAAAAACAAAAAGGCCCCAAATTATCATCACGCGCACAGGAACACTTCACACTCGCGCTGCGCGTCAGCCGAGCTCTTCTGCAGCGGACAGAAGAGAGGATGTGAGGGGAACGGAGCTGGACAGTCCGGTAGGAGGGCTGAGGCGCACGCTCGGATTGTCGGTAAGTGAGTTATTAAAAGTAGCTGCTGTCTTCTCCGTTTCTGGGTGGGGATAATGCTGAGCAGGGCCAGTGACGGGACCGTTTAGGGTGAGAAGAAGAAGAAAAGGAGGCTTTGTACAGAAAACGCAGTTAGTCCACACGCACTCATACACAGACACACAAACAGCTGTAGTGTACAACTTTGTTCTAAGCGTCATGAAGGCAAATGATTCTTTAGACTCTATTTCAAGCCTTTTGGTTTGTTCAATAACAGTGTGAGTGAAATAAAAGGCACGTCTGAGATTGGGGCTGAAAATCCTCATCATCATCATCGTCATCATCATCATCACTAGGGCTGGGTATCAAAATTCAATACCTTTATGGTAGCGACCGAATTACTTAATTAAAGTTCTGCATTCAATACTGAATTATTTTAATAGTCAGCCTTCGCACCTGTGAGCCAAAAGCCACGCTTGTTCCAAAATCTAGACTTCTGATTGGCTGTCAAAGTCACACACTGTACGCATGCTGTTAACATCAGAGCTTCGTGCTTACTCTGCGGTCCATGATGGTCAGTAAATATGTCCACTTTCAGCACCTCACTCTCATTTCTGCTTTAAGTCACACCCACCTTCTGCCTTTAATTAAAAAGACGGCATCGGAAAAAGCAATTATCATGTTAATGGGAAAAGCTTTGATGACACCCAGCCCTAATCATAACCATCGAGATCAAACTCCTCCTCTTCCATCTCTGATATTCATAACCACTGAGAAGATCCACTGAGGGGGTGAGATTACTGTTGAATCATGGGAAATGTAGTGTGACAGCAGAACCCATGTTCTAGCGTTTGCCAGAGTTTAAGACATCATCTTGGCTTTTAAATGGCTTTAAATTAAAAAAAAAAAAAAGTTCAGCCTCTGACGTTCCAGAGCCAATCAGTCACAAAAGGTAAAAGTTCACCTGAACACAGGCACAGTCTCAGGTCAAAGGTCATGGCTGTTAAGTAAAAGGCAGCATAAGAGAGGCGTGCTGTGGTTGCCATGGCGTTGTCCTATAGCGTACTGTCTGAATCATACAGGGTCAGTCACCTTTCGCTTTCCTTCCCCGTTTGCAGTAAGACTTTCACTTTGGCTGCGGTGGAGTGTGAGCGCATACAAGGCCTCGAGAAGCAGCAGCACGACAGCGTCTGCCAGTCCACCACGCTGTTAAAGCGATAGTTCGGCAAAGCATAAAAAAGGTACATTTACAGTTTCCTCCTGTTACCTCAAACGCAGTCGATCAGTTGGTGTCTGAAGTTTTCCTCGTTAGCTTCAGTGCTGGAGCCACGAGGCTAATGTAGCTAAAAAGTAATGGAAGCTTAACCACCACCGATTAGCATGGTGCTAATTGCCTAAGTGATCACACACTCGCCTCAAACTGCATCAGCTTGCTGACTCTTTAAGGCAGACACAAAAACGTGACTTTCTGCTGTTCCAAATCTGTTAAATCGAGATTTCTCCCTGCTGTCGTGTTTATTTAGAGAGAAAGAAAGTGATCTAACAAAAACAAGTCATTTTTATTCAGTGTGTTAATTCATACATCAGTCCCGCTTTACCATAATTCTGATGGAACAAATCAATAATAAGCTCACTTATTGTGTTCACTCGGTGCATCCAACAATAAAGGAAGCCTCGTGTATCTTTTATAGGAGTGACAGAAAACACAGCAGCATTCGGAAAGATCTGATTCTACACGCCAAAACTGCTAAAATGCTGTTACTGTTGCCAACAATGATGTGCACACAGCTGAACTCCTCTTTCAGCCTCGTAGCTCCAGCGCAAAACTAAAGAAGCAAACTTCAGACTTAGACACCAAACGTGTCTTTGCTGACTGACCACATTTACAGTAAGAGGGGGAAACTGGGTAAATTTGATTTTTGGCCACACTATCGCTTTAAGATCTGCATGTGAGAGCCCATCCCAACACTGAGGCCCAGTGCAGATGCAGTTCCTTGCTTATTGGCTGTAACTCCGGTGTGATGTCACTGTCAGCCCTGATTGGACAGCATTCACCAATGGCCTTATCATCAAGTTGTGTCTATAATTATAAAAATCAGTTTGGTTAAGGTGTGAACAGTGTTAAAATTAGAAAAGCTATTGGGGTTTAATTTGATGTTCAACTCTCCACACAAACAGACACTCCAACACAAGCTTCGTTTAAAGGAGAACTGCACTGATTTTTGAAAATTCCTGCATAACTAAGTGGTTAAGACAAAGTCGTTCAGAGTGGTTCAGAGTGGTTTGGTGTGAAACGCTCTGTTCTAGAGAAACTTACCGAGTCAGAACTGTTCACAGTGGTGGTGATAGGAACCAGACATCCACCTCTAAAAGCTCCCTCACAGAAAGTTCCTACATGAAATGGTTATGAATTCACTGCCTGATGACTGAGACACTGTTTTATGATAGTTTAGAGAACTTAAACTCCATTCATGGTGGAGGGATACATGCAGGGCGCTGTGAGGCAAAATAGTCCCCAAAGAAAACTTATTATTTCAGATTTTCCACTATTTTCCATCATCAACATTCCATATAAACTCAGAAGACTCGTGTAGGTTCACTGGTGGTTCTGGATAGTAAATAAAATGTCTATATTTGTGTTGTAGTCATGGCGACCCCTGGTTCCTATCACCACCACTGTAAAGACATCTGAACCATTTCACACCAAACCGCTCTGAATCACTCTGATTACATCTCACACACTGAATAAGGCAGAAAATCTGAAAAATCAGTGGAATTCCCCTTTAAGGACCTGCTGTGCGTTCTCACTGGCTGCTGTCTGTGTTATCCACCAGTGAGAGTGTGTGTATGGACGGCTGGGAGAGAGTGTGTGTGGGGTGAGAGAGCTCTCTTTTGTAAGTCTTTGGGGGCAGTTTGGGGAGCGCCGAGGTGGAATTGTGTCGGGGTGGTATAGGGGGCGCTGTGATGGGTAGAGGCAGGTGACACAGGCTGGTCTGGCTGGCACTCAGTGGGCAGGAGCGGCGGGGCACGCGCGGCGAGGGTGTGCCAGGAGGGGGCGCCAAGCGGGGCGAAGGTGTGCCAGGCGGAGTGCAGGGTGAGCTGGGCGAGCTGCTGAAGTCCCACTGAATCCGGCCCCCCGGAGACACGGCGGCGCTGATGGGGTAGTTGATGAAGCTCTCCGGGGGGCGCTGAGGCAGAGGGGGCAGCGAGTCCGGGATGGGGTCACGGGGTGGTGGAGGCGGGGGGCTCGGTAACGGACCGTCTGCTGGACGCAGGCGAGGGAGAGGAGGAGGTAACCGGGGCGGGATGGCAGGAGGACTGTCCTCAGACCTGGAGCTCAACTACACGAACACACAACATTAATTAGAGGTCATCTTTCATATAGCTAATTAACTAAGACAAGTTGCTTTACATTTATTCTACAGAACACTTAAAAAAAGGGCAACGTTTTTTTTTTCTCCAGCAACTACTTAACAATATACAGTGGAGTCCAAAAGTCTGAAGCACCAATAAAATAATGCTTCCATTTTGCATTTTTTTCTAATTTAATTAATTTTTTAAAATATAAATCCTGTTATCACCATAACCATTTTTATAACAAGTAGAATCTTGTTTTGACAAACAATTCAAAGTACTTGGTGGAGTGTTCCCCTTTTGCCTTAAGGACAGAGTGCACTCAAGCCAGACTCCACAAGTGTGTGTAAAAACCTCTAATGAGCAGATCAAATCCACCTCAAAGCTGTCTGAACATGAGCTTCAATGTAAGAGTCCGTTATCTTCATTTTACCTGTCAGAAGTCTTTTTTATGTTTAAGTTTTCAAAAAAAATTCTGTTTAAATGAAAATCAGTGTGGACTTTTCAATCCCACAGTGGATTCTGAAAAACGCAATAATAAAAGAAGTGCCCAATAATGTTCATATGATCCACACAGTCACTCTGACAGACTGTAATACACTACAGGAAGTGTAGGGGGCGATACGGCTTCTACTGTTTCATTTAAAAAGCTCTATAATGTTCATATGATCCACACAGTCACTCTGACAGACTGTAATACACTACAGGAAGTGTAGGGGGCGATATGGCTTCTGTTTATTGTTTGAAATAAAAGGAGAGCAGAAACCCTCAACCTAAGCCAAGAGTTGTGGACGAAAGTTATCTTTGTTCAGAAGCGAAAAATTATAGATATATATAAAAATTAAAATTAAATTAATTATAAAATACCTTGTCTGAGAATGTGTCTTTCCTGCGGGGGGGTAACGGTGGAGGTTTAAGAAGCTCGTCCCCCAGCTGATGGAGACTGCCACAGGACACCGAGTGAAACTCTGAGAAGAACAACACACAATAGTATGTATATTAAGACTCAAGTGTTTGGTCACTATTTAAATCTTTACATTTAGTAAGTGTTTTCAGATTGACAATGCAAAGACAGCACCCAGTTTTTCCCCAATTCAGGTTCTGATTATTTTCTACTGCTGGACATTTGCTCTCAATTTAAAAACCACCACAGTGCATCAACCATAAAAGACCTTTTCACATTCTCAGTCAGTGTGAAAAACACTAGACAGTATGATAATTAACGAGGCCACTGCTATTCCTCCAGATCGTTTGAAGAAACGGAGGAATACGAGTAAGTATTTACATCTATTTACCTACAAGAACATTTATTACCCAGTTTGGAGATAAATTAAAGCTTTTTAACTCAATTTTAAACACTTACTGGATGGTGGCAGCATTACAGGAGCAAATATACTGTTGTTACCTGTATAGAGAAAATACACAGACAAAGATGTTATCAGAATGCAGTAATGCTGAAAATGAAAACTTAATTTGCCTTTGTCAAGAAGGTAATAAAAGCATGTAGTAATTTTCAACTCGTTATTTCTGACTCTGAAACAAGTGGAGAAATTGTGTGGAAAGTTGCAGATTCTAAACTTTCAATCCAGACCACATTAGTGTTGCTAAGTATAAGAGGAGAAAAATTATATTATGTCAGTTGTTGTTGTGCGTTTTGAAGACAGAACAATCCTTTGCATTTTTGCTGTTCTTGTTTTTTTTTCTTTTACCATCGAACAACAATTTGAATAACAGACAGAAAAAAATATTAGGGAATTACATTTAAATAGTTTAGCAAAATTATTATAAAGGTCTATATGTGGATCTTCAGTGTTGACTCTTCAACTCTTCACATAACATCAGAACTTACTTATAAGAATAGTTATGAATAATCAGTATAATATCAATATCCTGTCTTGAGAATAATAACTGAATAATAAGCCTGTACTTTATTGTTACAAGCTTGACACTGTGACAAAAGAAGAACCACTTTCTGGTGCTATATAGAACCCTTTTCAAAAAGGTTCTAATAGAACTATTTTGTTTACTAAAGAACCCTTGAAGAACCATCTCTTTAAGAGTGTTGGCAAAGTACTTAAATGTGTTTGTTGTGACAGCTGTCCTAACTGCCTCACGCACTTAAAACACTGTGTGGGAGAACAGTCCTAATTTTAGTGTTTGACAGGCTGTAGCTCAGGATGGAGGAGTGTTCGAGCTGCTGTGTGTGTCTTGTAGTTGTTAATGGTTAAGTGGGAGAGCAGAGTTCAATCCCAGAACTCGTCAGGCTTCTAATGGTTTGTGCTTTAATATACTGACGTCTCTCTGGCGCTACATGTATGAGGTAATCTGATCGGTCATTGCTGCTTTCATAATGTGTTTATTGTGGAATCTCATATCATGATAACGATAAAAATACAATTTATTGTGCAAACCTAGTTAACATAATGATGGTAGACAGAAGGCGAATTGAAGTTTTTAAATGGAGCAGTGGCAGGAAATTCAGCCGCCGTCGCTGCTGCATACTGTCACTGTTTACACTGACTCTGCAGTAACGGTGTTTTTTCCCCCCAAGCCAACATAAATGCAGTATAACATAGACGCTGCTCACCGTAGGTGCTGCTGAGCTCATGGTCCATGAAGACGGAGGAGAGGTCTGAGCTGGCGCTCTGCGGCGGTGTGGGTGTGTTCGGTGATGTGGGCAGTGAGGTGGTGCTCTCCACCTCCGTCTCGGCGATGCTCCTGAACGTGATTTTGTGCGGAGGTTCTCGCTCTAAAGGCACCGGGTGAACCCGCACTGTCCCGCTGCTGCCGGACGCCTGCCGCACCGGACGGACCCCGGGGGACTTCAGACTATACGTTGTCTTCCTGGGCTACAGGGGGCGACAGAGGGCACATTGTATAGCTGGTTAAGGTCATATTTAAATGTCTGTTAATAGAGTCACTGTTTGATCTTGTATTAAGTGCAATAAAATTCAATTCCTGGTTTAAAAATACAGTAAATTTAGATTGAAGCAGAAGCTTGTGGCACCAAAGCGTCCTCTGATATTCACTGACGTCCAAGTAAAAGTTGACGTACTTACTAAATTACTGTTATAGCGTAATATATATTTTAATATTTTCATGCCATTTATATGTTGTTAGGGGCTGCACTACTATTCGTTTACTGATAAATACTGAAAATGCCCATAGAACTCACGAATCGTGGGGGCTGTTTGCAGTTCCGTGGCTCGATCTCCTGAGATTTGTTGAACAGATAATCAGAAAACTCCTTTTCACTCATGCTGCCCATGGGGTTCAGATTCTCAAAAAACTTCTGCAAAATAAACACAAACAGAAAGACATTTAAAATAGAAATATAACCGAGAAAATGAAAGAGCGAGGGGCCGAAAGGAGAGATAACCCCACCCTGATGTCATGTTCCACTCTGAGGCAGTACGGCTGGTTCTGGTACTGCTGGATCTCCCCGGTTATTTCGGCCACTTTACGCCTCTTGCTGAAGTTGATCAGCTCTTTGCCGTGACGTTTAAGGAAGTCTGGGTTTCCCTCCTCCGTCTTCAGGATGTTCGTCAGGTAGATACCTGCGCGCGCGCACACACACACACACACAGCCAACAAAGGAGGATGTTATCAAACTTGCAGACAAGCACTGGAGATGGGCGTGTTTGTACATCTAACAAATAAACAAACATCTTTGATATCTAAACTCATCTTGCTATTTATTTTCTTAAGTATTCAAATTAGATGTGTACTTTGAACAAAAAGATTAATCAAACAACATATTTTCTTTTTAATGTTAGAGCTGGATGATATATCAGCAGCCGATATATGTTACCATTCAAAAGTTTGGAACTTGTCATTTAATAAGTGCTGTTGTATTATCCAATAGTAACGAGAAGGTATAATACACAGTATTATAGGCCTACATTCAATCCATTTTAGTCTATATGCTTTTTAAAATATTGACTTTTAATGAAAATCTTCAATAAAACTCACATATTAAATGATACTGAGTAACTCGGCATCATTTGAGAACTACTTCAGTCTTAATGAACTTCATTTCTACATGTTTTTACAGCTATTATCATATTAATTATTTGAAAGCTGTGAAATTGTATGGTCATAGAATCATTATACACATGTATGGCCAACAAATTTCTTTCCAACCCTTTGAATGGTAGTGTATTGTATATGCCAAAAAATGAGAAAATTTAAACAATTTCAACAGTGCAATTTTGCAACTATGGTAAGCGTCCTGTTTTTAGATCGTGGACGCACTGAAGCACATGCAGTCACGAGTGGTGGGAATTTACCTTCAGTTAACTCACAGAAATGTACATAAAACAACAATTTCGGAAGATAATGTTTGGGACACAAGCAGCTGATGCTGTGTCTCACCAAAGAAAGGCACACAGGGCGGGTTGATGGATTTGAGCTTGGCCAGGTACTTTTTAAAGTGATCCTGGCTGAGCTCCACAGCTTCTTCTAGAATCTTCCTCTTTCTCTCCGGAACAGCCTGCACACACAAAAACATTATTAGCTTAGATCAAGTGAGACGGTTTATCAGTGCAAACTCCACCTGCGTGTCTGCACATCTTATAGTCACCTCGAAGGTGTGGTCGAGACGGTACACAGGCACTGAGTTGATGGCGCTGACGATCTCGAGAACACCGTTAAAGTTGTTTAGCTCCTGGAACACCTGCAGAATATCAATTATCCGCGAAAACACAGCTACCCTCTCGTCCAAATTCTCAGCCTCAACAATACACCTGAGAAGGGGGGGGGAAGAGAGAGAGAGAGAGAGAGAGAGAGAGAGAGAGAGAGAGAGAGAAGAGAGAGAGAGAGAGAAAGAGAGAGAGAGAGAGTAATGAGTTTTTTTTATATAGCGAATACAGCATAAGCACACCGGTGTCTACAGAGAACTATGTGTACCATGATAAACCTGGGCAAAGTGCTACTCACTTCTCAAACCACAGAGTGAGATTGGTGGTGTGTCTGATCATCCTCAGCAGGTTTGGAGAGTTCTTCTCCTTATCTTCTTTAGTCCACACACTACCCACCAGCTCAGAGGGACGCACAGCCCTACACACACACACACACACACACACACACACACACACACAACTGACTGATTAATTTTTGGTACAGGTCATTTCTCTACAAAGACACAATGTAGGAACTCAAAATTGATCACAGTGATGGTCAAAAATGTGGGAACATCTTGCTTTCTTTTGATTTTTTGATACTGACTGTTTCATTTGATTTAATTTTTAATTAAATAAAAAAAATGCAAAACCATATGCAAAGTTGTCATTATCTCAAAGCAGGTCTTTGCTAATGGTTTTGGTACATTCGAAGAGTTTCATCCCAGAAGGCAGTACGTCCATTTCTAACAATTTTGTAAGTACGTTTTTAAAAAGGAATAACAGCTGATGTATATTGGAACAGATTTCCATTTCTCTAATAAAGGTGGTATTAATCATAATATGGCTTTGATATTTCTTATACATTGTTGGGACATCATGAAAGAAAAAAAAGGAAACAACAAAATTCTTGAAAGTGGTCTGGAATTAATCCCCTCATTTATCTCCAACAAGTGTCTTCCTTTGTACAAGTCTTGCCAGTTTTCTTTGCCAATCTATTATTAAAAGCACATACTGAAGCTCTTTTGGCCCAAAGGTGGTTAAATCTAGAGCCCCACCGATATATCAGAAGGCCAATAATATCAACCACGGTTTCACAAGTTTTGGCAAAAAGATCTGCATTAACAAATCAAGAACCTATGAGGAACATCACAACATTTATAGCTCTGATTGGTAGAACAGAGATTCAGTGTTGATCCTGACTGACTGAGGTTAGTCTCACCTGTAGAGGTCAGACTCCAGCAGGGTGAGCTGGCGAGCTATCTCAATCGGGTGAAGGGTCATAAGTTCAAAGGTATCGACTTGTCCGGGGCGGCTGATGTGCCACTCTATGGGGGGAGGCGGGCTTTCAAAAGTGATGTTGTGGCTCACTCCGTTTGGCTGCGTCTGAATCTTACGCTTAATGATCTTATTTATAGACTCCACCCACTTACGCATGGACTTGCCTGCACAGAGAGAAACACACACACACACACACACACAGCAATCACATACCAAAAGACTCAAATGTGTCAATCAAATAAGTAGTCTACTGGGATTCTACTGTTTATAAATGCAAATGTAAACAAAGTTAAAATCTATAGTTTTAGTAACTGAACTATAGTTTATAGTGACTATAGAGTAAAAACTATAAGTAATCATAAGTTCATTAGGACCCAGACTAACAAACTGAAATATCTGCATAACCTACGGATCGTTTTTAATACAAAATCTGAAGACATCTTACTACTGAGCTTTTTAATCTGTAACCAACTGCCGACTGTATATATTTTTCTTTTTTCATTCTTTGAATTATTTGGTAGTGTTATTTTCATTTTATTTTTTTTAACCTTTTGTCTTCTGTCCTTGACATCTTACAGCAATGTTCTGTATTCATTTGTGTACTCATTAGTACTCAGTCCTTAAAAAAAATTCCCACTGATAAAGTACTTTTGGAAGAAGAAGTGCTCCTTCTGCCTGTTTACTACTGTTTCCACCACTGTATCTCAATTCTAGACTTAACCAGTCGACAGCTGCCTACAGCAACCACTAGTGGACATATAAGTCAACTAGTCTATGCAACCCCAAATGTATATAAACATACATACCTCTGAGCTGTAAGGTGTTGGTGATGTACTCCTCGAGCCTACAGCGCAATTCTGGATCATTCTCAAAGTCATAGAAATGATGCTCCACCCACTGACGGAACACATTCAGAACCCTGAACAAGACGCAAACAGAGACATAAACATGAGTGTGTTTGTATGCAGATACTAGGTGGTGTGTATCAATACACATAGTTTCAGGTTTGATGCCATTTTCACTTCTAAGATCAAGATTCACTTTGATTTGCGTAATTTTGTGCATTAAAACATCTTGGTAACACTGAGCTTTAGTTAAGCCACTAAATTACTACCCCTAGAAGTTACAAGCTCTTTAAAATAAACAAGCCATGTCATTTGCATAAGCCCGCCTACTTCCCCACCCACAGTGGCTTCCTCGAAACATGGTAAATGAGAGACGCTCTAAGGACACTGAAGGGTTATCAGTCGTAGGGTTTTATATTTACATACACTGTGCATATATGCTTTTATTTGTTGTTTTTTAATACAGCCTCCACACACACACACACACACACACACACACACACACACACACACACACACACACACACACCACTGTGTACCTGAGCTGTACAGGTTGCACATATTCTCGCCGGAATCTCTGGAGCTCAGCTGCCATTGGCTGATCTCCGTTCCACAGCGCCTGCAGGTCTGCCTCCAACTGCTCCGGCTCTGGAATTTCAATTCTGGGAAATCATGGGAAAAAAACAAAACCACACTGAACCTAATCAGCAGGAAAGAGCTGAAAACTAGCACTTGGCAATATAGCAATATTTATCATTATTGTGATAAATTATGACAAAATATGCTTGTCTGTGTATTGTGGATATCGTCAGTACTTAAAACGCTTCCGAACTGCATGATTGTATGAAATTCTGAATATTAATCATGTACTAATAGTTATTCATAGTATTTTTTAAACTTTGTCTACTTCAAATGATCACATACCAGAAAAAATAAAGTGATGTTCGTGAGAACTTATTTAAGCCCTTAAAATCTCAGGCTTATTACATACTAAGGCTTATTATTCTGCAACTACAGGGACTTCAAAGCAAACTGGCTGAGCTATTCTTAGGTTATAGAAGTGTGTAATAAAACTTTGGGCCTTTTTTGGCCTTTCATGGGGTCAAGTATCAGGATGTGACATTTTTGCCTTATCGCCCACCCCTATTTTCCCCTAAGAATGTCAAAGCAGTGGACGAATGCATATGTGTGGGTCACTACTAAAAGAGCTAGCTTGAGGAAGTCCTTGTGCGTTTGTGCAGGAGCCAGCAGGGTTTACCTTTCGATGAGCAGCGTGAGGAGATCCTGTGGTTTGCAGAAGGAACGGTACGTCGTCAAGAAAGTGCGCACAAAATTGGGGTCTGTGAGAAAAGAGGAAGAAGAAACTGAGAACAGTCCTGCCAACCTTCTGTGATGATCGTACCTAGTTCAAGAAGTTTAGAGCTTTCCGCACCCAAACTACAGACACACTGAGAGAAAGAGCACAAAACTGATCCACGAAGAGATTTCTGCTCCAAGACAGTAGGGGGCTCCAATGCACTGGAAAAACAGGTGATACTGTAACAGATGGCACTGCAGAACATACTTGTTTGATGTCTGGAGTTTCTTTAGTTTTGCACTGGACAAGGCTAATGTAGCCAAGATGGACAAAATTTAGGCTTTAAGTTTTTTTTATTTATGCTGTGTTTTTGTTCCCAGGTTTATAGATAACAGTGAGTCATACAGTGTCTATTAGAGATCGTGAAGAACTCTACATGGTTTGAGGGAAGTATATTATGATTCAGGAAGGTAGCACCATACTAACTGGTGAGGTATAAGCTTCCATTACTTGTTAGCTACATTAGCCTCATAGCTTCAGCGCTAAAACTAAAGAAGCAAACATCAGACACCCAACACGTCTTGGCTGATCCACTACATCTGAGGTAAAATGGAATTAATTATGGGAATTAAATTTCACTTTTTGTGAACTATCACTTGAAGGTGCGATTATGTCCAGCTAGTTTCCTCACCTGCATACATGTGGTAAGTGAGTCTCTCGATGAGTTTGTCCACGGTGCCAGCTTTAATGATGGGTATTCCCGTCTTGCTCTGCGTGTGTTCCTCAAAAACAATGTTTTCCTCTGAGTCCTGTACAGTAAAGCGGTAAACCTCAGACGAAGGCAGCCGAAGGGGCTGAGCCTGCTCCTCTCGCTGCAGCTCCGTGTCCAGCATGCGGTCCAACGTCGAGCGGTACTGCAGGGTAACCAGTGCCGCCATCCATGCGTTCTTCTCCTCCACAGAGCGGGCGCAGAAAATGGCACTGCTTTCCTCACGACCCACCAACTCAAACGCAAACCGCTGCTCACTTGTGTCTTCCCGGTCCGCGATGCGGTACTTGCGCAACACAAACTTCTCCTTTAGGCGAAACTCCGCCCCGCTGCCTGTCCCTGGCAGCCGAGAGCTCTGATTGGCCTTGCAGCTGATCATAAGGCCGTCGAACAGAAAGTTGTGTCGCTCGTGCTTGGCCCCAGCGCGTACCAGCGGCCCCTCAAGGATGAACTGGCTGCAGCACTGGCCGATGTCCTTCCCCTCCCAGCCGTCGATGCTTCGCTGGATCTCGTTCATGCGCTTTATAGCCAGCTGCTTACTGCGGACCGGCCGGCTGTACAACCGGTACAGCGGCTCGCTGTGAACAGAGGACAAAGAGACACGTGACTGATACTGTACATCTAAGAAGTCTGAATAGAATTAGTCGTTTAGCACTGAGGGTAAAGCTACTATCACTAACTAAACTAATGTATTTACTGTTTTCTAGATAACGCTAAAGCTTCAGTCTCCAAGCTCCAAAGAACACCATACAGACAGGGGCATGTTGCCTTTTCATGGGACAGCTTTCAGTAGAGCTGAGCGATATGGCAAAATATGATATTGTGATACTTTTTACGATAAACAACATGTAACAATATTTAGTTTTTCAGACATACGATCAGTTGGAACAGAGGAAAAAAAAGGAAAGAATACTATCAAAAACATGCAGTGGGTCAGTGTCTACAAGCACTGATGATGTACACAATATATTGAGAAAAAAAATTATTGTTCTGTACTGTGACTCGAGCCATCATGATAATGTATCTCATCATATTGCCCAGCTCTAGGCTAGTCTGGTGAAAAATGAATTTTACACTGTTTACCCCCTTTAGTCCAGATGTAGCCATGTTATATTTGGTGTCTGAAGTCTTGGTCCTCTTTAGCTCTGCACTGGAGGTACGAGGCTAATATAGCTAACAAGTAACCCAATGGTGCCCAGTCCTGGTCCTGGAGTTTGCATGTTTTAAAGATTCCCTGCTCTCAACACAGTGAGTTTGAACGGGTGTGGTAGGACAGGAAAACAATAAAAGGGTCCCAGGATGAGGATTGGGAACCACTGAAAAGCAAGTTCATACCCCCACAGACTAACATAGCATTAACTAGAAGCAAACATCAAACATGTCTTGGCTGACAGACTACTTTTGAGCTAAATTATTGATTATTCATTTAACGTTTTGTTCATAGACAGTACACAATAAAGCAGCGGTGGGCATAATGAAGATGTTTAACATTAATGTGATAAACTGCATCACATTATACTTTTTTGATTAAATCGTTTACACCATCAGTACTTTGGCTTTGGGGGATCTATTTGCAGAAATGGAATATAGTAACAAAGCCATGTTCTCATTAGCGTTTCATCACCTGTGACTACAAATCGCTGTGTTTTCATTAGCTTAAAATGAGCCCTTCATATCTACATAGGGAGCAGCTCCTCTTCAACAGAGGCTGCCATGTTTCTACAGTAGCCCAGAGTGGACAAACCACACACAGACTCTAGAGGGCGCCTAAAGCAGCAGCTTGAATTAGGTGGCGCTGTAGCTCCAGTCAGAAGATGTAGAAAGAGGAAGAATCTGTGGTCGCTGCCGGTGCTGGTGACTGTTTTGTGTTGTGAGAAATATGAGAACTCAAATTTTGACAAATGGAGGATCAGACTTGTTATTTAGCACAAGAAAAAGCGAGAGAGGGTGAATCTTCACCGTCAAAGAAGAGAAAACATGAAGAAGCAAAATGAAATCAGGACAGAGGACAGCAGAAAACCTGACGGCCACCGTCGGTTCTACTACACGTTTGGAAAGGGAGGGGTGAGGGAGGATTCAGCTGGTTGCGATCTGCAACCTCACCACTAGAGGCCACTAAATCTTACACATTGCGCCTTTAAAGAACTCTGGCTACAATTACAGCAGAATTAATCTTGTTTAATTGGATTTACTGCAGCAGTGTGTAGAACACTATGCCGTGATGGTATTATTTTTTTAACGTGGCACTGCTGGGATGCAGATCGTATATATCTTGTGATATATTTTTTGCTATATCTCCCACCCTCTACAACAAAGGCCTTTAGTTCCTACATGAGTGGGATGGAAATTAATTCCTGTATGTTAGAGAGAGTGTGTGTGTGTATTACCCAGGTTTGCGACGCGGCTGGTGTTTTCCGTAGATGCGCTCGATGCTGCTTTGAAGAATTAGCAGGGCTGTCTGGGCTTGTTTCAAACACTCCCTGTCGTCCTGGTCCTCACTCCGCTCCTGCAGTTGCTGTGGAGACACAGTTTCTACATTAACAACTGATGTTAGCGTTCACTAAAGTTGAGCTGACACCAAGGACTTTTTCACACTTGTCCCAAATACTTGAGTCTGCACCCAGCACTGATTCTGGGCTTGTTTGAGGGATGTCCTCATTATCGCTGGTTTGCTTTCACACACAAGAATTCCATCTGAACCGCGGATCGATTGCACAGCTTCTCTGGCAAAAACGGAGCGGACTGTTGTTTCAAATCTGATTTTCTAAAGTCATTTGTCGGATATGTGTGTTCTATTCACTCGTGCTGACATCTCTGAGCATCAGACTCTGCAGGAGTTTAGTAAATTTCACTGTCTTTATGCTGTCAGTAGCAGCAAATGTGTTTTCCCCACAAAACAATGGGCGTTACAGATTTTGCCATGAGCATTTTTACTGCTTCTTGTGAAACCCACACCGCTGACATGATGTTCAACTCTGACTCTGTGTGCATCAGAAATTGCTTCATGGTGTCAGAGGTTTCAGTGTCCCCATCGCCGATACTGCGTTTGAGTGCCAGTATCGGCAACAATACAGATACGGTTTTGGTGCAACAGTGATAGTGTCTTGTTCAAAAGGTGGTCCAAGCTGAAACACTCCTTATAACTTCAGTGTGAGTGGGTGGGGCTAAAACGGGCTGTTTTTGCAGCTCAGTTTCCATATTTGATCTGTATGATTACTGCGGAGTAAGCAATATTTTGAAACTTAGTTTAAACATGACATTAAAATTTGTATTATTTAAAAAAGAGAGGAAATTTCATTTCTCTGTGGGATGGGCCCTTTAAATGATGAAAGTGTAAGTGATACTGACCTGCAGAAGTTCAAAGTAGTGCATGCAGTGATAGACAGGAACCATCATCAGCTGTGGGAGAACATACTGCACAGCTTCCTTAAAGCCTTCAGCAATCGACTGTAAAACACACACACATACAGAGGAAGGAGGGGTCAGATCTGTCTCTGGTGGACTGGACAGTAATCTGAGAGGGGATAAAGCTGGGGATGACAATGTGTGTGTGACTATGTGTGCCAGAGTGAGATCAAAGCACAGGCCCGGTTCTACAGGGGAGCAAAGGCATGCAATGCACCCTCAGTTTAGTGTTTTTGCACCCTTAGTCAGGGCTGTAAGATTACATGTGTTTATACCAACATCATGAGTGCATCTTTCAAATTGCAAGAGATGCAGTTGTATTACAGTTAAGTGGGTAAATTTAACCGCTTAACATGGAGCTTAGCCTTTGGATGAATAAGATCAATCAGAAGCAACCAAACCATGCGCTGTGTACATGACAACACAACCACAACTAACTGCCAGCCTGGAACAGCACGGCCTGCATTCGAGCCTCAAGCCAGAAAACATGGATATTCTGGTCTTCTTAGCCAAAATAACAGGCATTTATAAAAAAATAATCGCTATTTAAAACCACAATCAAAACACTGGTCAAGAAAATCCCAATTAAATATTTTCTCCAAAACCTTCAGTCAAGCTTCGTGGACAAGGCTAGACTGCCTACAGCTAAGACCAGTGTCTCAGCGTGGAGATCACTTTATAAGGAGAAATTAATTAACTAATTAACCTACATAGCACTTATGCATCTGATAAAGCCTTAAATATTCATGAGATCACTGTGTGTCGTTCTGCAGTTAGCATACTGGATGTTTGTTGATGTCAGAGACAAGTACTACTGGGGGCGATTAGTTTTCCATGGGTAATTTCAACACAAAAGGTATGACGGATTCACTCAGGATAAGTAAATCTCAGGACAAATGACAGAGATGGGAGTGGTTACTTGATTTTTACATACTGCCTTTACTCAAAAAAAGAAAAAAAAATAATAGTAGAAAAAAAAAAAGAAAAAAATATTAGAAAAAATGTTAAAACATTTAATTTAGCCGTTATTTCGTTTACCCTGACCATCTCACTAATCAGCTGTCTTTAGTGAACGCAGAGTGTCGCTGGGAATTTACAACATCACCACATAAAATCAAACTTTTTGTCGATATAAGCTTTATGCTTTGTTTTATAGCAGGTAAAGGCGCTGGAATCTTTACTGAAGTGAGAATGTGTGGGCCGTTACAATGACTGACATGGCGCATTCGGTTAGGAATGAAAATCACCGATAAACACTGGTAAAAATTACATCACCCCACCTCCTCATGTAAAGCTAGTCCTCTCTGAATAGGGCTGTAAATAATATCCAGACACGATTAGTTTCCATGGGGAGGCGTGGTAATTTTACCACAGGACCTCTGTAAAATGTCCGTAAAAATCTTCACTCAGAAAATTAATACAAAATGTCTAAATGTTTGATTTAACCATTACTGCCTTTAGCCAACTGACTGTGCTGTCTTAAGGGAACGCAGTGTGTCAACCGTATCGCCATACAGTTTGTTTTACAGTATTCAAAAAGCGCCAGAATCTTAAATCACTGAGAAACAGCGGTAAAATGATATTATCCATTCTAATGTAAAACAAATCTAGTCCATACAGTACTTTAGGTAGCAAGAGGGTTTACTATCATTGACTTGCAGTGACTTTGTAAACAATCAGTATTTAAATATCCCAAAGAGGAACCATACTATTGTGTTGTGTTATTCATGCGATGCACCACTTTGCTTTTCTCCCTGTAGTAATCTCTGCAAATTAGCAATTAAAGCATGAGATATTACAGTAAGGTCAAGGACTGTTTAATATTTAGTCATATAATTAACGCCAGCAGCGCATTTCTTTATAATAAAATGTGAACTCTGTTTATTTCTAAAGCTCTCTCAGTGATTTTCTCTGAAACCAGGCCTGTTACAGCATCCCTTTAACCACGACACAGACTCCCACGACAACCCCCAATAATCAATAATCTACTGCTGCTTCTCTACCACACACACACACACACACACACACACACACACACACACACACCAGAGCTGTCACGTTTCTCATACACACTCCTTACATTTCCTTGAAATGAATGCAAGCTCTATTCACATAAAACTATTGATCAGCCGCTCGCACACAATAAAGACAGCCTGTCTGAGCTCACAGGCAGAAAAACGGAACAAATCCAAAATCTCTAAACTCTCTTTTTCCTCTCTTCTTTTTCTTTCTATTTCTTCCTCCCCTCTCCTCCTCCTCCTTTCGCTCCCGTTCTTTCTTTCTCTCTCTCCTTTCTACTTCTCTCCCTCCCCTCGTTTCTCTCTCTTTTTCTCTCCTTCACTTCTCCTCTTTCTTTCAAATCCTTTTCTTTCTCTTTTTCCTCTCTCTCTCTCTCTCCCACACTCACACCCCAGTGCAGAGAGCAGTGTTCTATTTATAAAGCACTCTGTTTAAACACATTAGCTACACTGAGGTGAAGTGGAGGGAGGGCTGCTCATGAATGTGACAGACACATGAGTGAGCCAATCAGAGTAGAGGTGTCTGATATAAAATAGAACAGCAGTTTGGAACAAATATTCAGCTGAAATACAGCAATAAATGCACTGAACACCACCACCTCTATAATAATATTACTACTATGTTATTTCAAAATAAACTTGTAGAAGAAGTGAAGAAAATGGTAAAGCTGTATGGCTGACTTCCTCTCTCTTCAGAGCACCTGTTTTACCCTCTTTCACTGAAACCACTGTCAGTGCTCACAACCAGACATCTGGGTGCAGCCTATCAAAGTAAAGTGGGTGTGGAGAGGCGGGACTCATGTTATAGACACACCCATAATCAAATGACTGATTTTTTTCCTGACGAGCGCATAAACTGTAGAGGTTGTGATTTTTGGGGTGTATTTTGTTCGAGGGTGGCGCAACAGGAGCTGAAAAACATAACTGAATCTTAACCTCAGAATCAAAAATCATATCCAACTTGAAAAAGTGTGCTACAGCCGCTCTGATTAGTAAAAAATATAAGGCGGTTAGCATCTTTACAGTTTATATTTTCCTGTCTTAAACCGTATTCGGCACATTAGTTTTCCATGGGAACGTGGGTGATGCCAGTTTACCACAGGGAGTGTGCAACGTTTATGTTTCGCACAGGACAATAAATCTCATTATAAATCACAGAGATGGGAGTGGCTACTCAATTTACATACCGCCTTCACTGCAGAAAAGTTAGCCGTTATTTTGTTTACTTTGTTTTCTTTCTGAAGTGAATGTAGTGCATCGTTAGCATCATTAGTGGTTTGGGAATTCACCACATAAAATCAAATTTGTCAGTCAAAAATGACTAACATGGTGGATCTGGACAGGATTAAATCACAGACAATAATTATGTTACCCACCTCTTCATGTTAAAATAAACCTGACCGAATAGGACTTTACATGAACTGCCCTTTATATGAGGACTATAGTGTGAACTTGTAATGCAAAAATGCAAGTAAAATGTTCAGTTATCGTTCTGGCCCAGAAATCCCACATCAGTGCGTCCCTGAATCAGGCTGCAGTGTCTGGTGATTACCTGGAAGTGCAGCGCTACAGTTGGACGGGACATGAGGCTGCTGAAGTGCTCGTGAAACTCTTTGGAGAGAATGTCTTGTGAAAGGGTCTCATACGGGTCAAAGGCCTGTTCCTGCAGAGTGAAAGAGAAAGAGAGAGAGAGAGAGAGATCAATTAATCTTTCTATTACTCAATTAATCAGTTACTCAGCTGCCTTTTCCTCTCCCTTTGACCCTGTCACAACGCCACATCATTAGAAGCGTAACGACTGAACGAGGCCTCTCCATGTTTTCTGTATTTTACAGAAGGTGTTTGTAGAAGGTCAGTGATCCAAGATCACGTGTTGGAACATAAACAGACAGATGTAAGCGGTGCTTTAAGGTCATTTAGAGCCTTAAAAACTAGTAGCAGAAATTTAAAATCTATCCTGAACAATACAGACAGTGCAGCTCTTTTTTGGTTTTTGTTAGGATGCTGCTGCATTTTGTACGAGTTGTAAAGGATGTATTGTTTTCTTTGTAAGTCCAGTAGGAGCATCACAGTGATCAACTCTGTTGGAGCTTCCCTAACAAGCTTACATTCTTTTCCAGAGCTACTTCCTTACTTACCGAAGTGCTCGACTGGTTACTTGGAAAGTGTATCTTTGTACATCAAGTTAAGGCACTTCCAGAAACAGAAGCATTTATGCTGATAAATTAATTCATGCATACACATACTTTCACAGAGTATGCAAGAGAGTTTCTGACACCCTTTTTTAAGTGTTTCTGCCAGTCTGACTCTGCAGTGCAAAAACTGTGTAGAAAATTTCCAGGATTTAAAAATTCACTGTACAGAAAATCTACACCTACAGAAAGTGAGACATCTGAAAGTGTACCTCAGCAAGATCTTCAAAGCAGCTGCCCACCAGAGGGTGTGGACTCCCATCTGCTGTCATCTCCACCGCATCTTCTATTAGACCCAGCAGCTTCACCGTCAGCTCATGGACCTCCAGAATATTACTGAACACCACCTCCACATCCTACAGAGAAAGAAAAAGAGATGATTACAAAAAAGAGTAAAAATCTGTCTAATTCAAATAATCCTGGCACCAGAAAGCCAAAGTTGAAAAAACTGCTGAATTAAAGTGACAGTTTGGCAAAAAAGATCAATTTTACACTCTGAAATGTAGTCCAGCAGCCAAAACATACTTGGTGTCTAAAGTTTGCCCCTTTAGTTTGGAGCTGGAGCAACGTGGCTAATGTAGCTAACATGTAATGGAAGCTTATACCCCACAAGTTAGCGTAGTGCTAACTGCATACCTAAAACATAAACGCGCCCAAACCTACCCTTTAGGATAAAATCACAATGTGAAAAGGAACTGATACAAAATAAGGAGAAGAAAATAAAACAGAAACTTGGTGTAGTATAAGCACCCTGTGCTTGTTAGCTGTATTAGCCTAACACGCTACTTCCTGACTGCTTTGAAAACAGCTTTCAATGCAACTTTCAGGTTCACTACTCCAGTAGATCTTCTGATAACCTCCATACAGTTTTCTTTAGGACGTCACTTGAACAGTTTACACACTCTCATTGTGGGCCTTCAATTTAGAACTGTTTACCACCTTGTCTAAAACACTGCTCAAAAAACAGGTTCAAACTATCTACTCTCACTCTAACAAACCTAAATGTACACCAAAATATGTGTTAGTTTTTTTGTGCTTGTTTTGGTCTGTTTGTTTTTCATTTAATTCAATTAATTTTTTTTTCTTTGAGGAAAAGTACTTTGTACAAACTCTTTCTGGGTTTTTTTTTTAACTTTTCCTGCACATTCTCCCTTTTCAATGTTGTTGTTTTGTTTGTATTTACTGTAACTTATGTGCAAATAATAAAATAAAAAAATAAAATAAAATAAAATTAAATAAAATAAAGCTCCAGAGAAAAACTGAAGAAGCAAACTTCAGACACCAAACGTGTCCTGGCTGATCTACCTTTAAAGCGACAGCATGAAAGATCTTTCTTTCACTGAACTATCGCTTTGAGGTCGTTGAGCAGGCCAGTGTGGTGTGACCTGGTCCAGAAAGTTGGCTCTGAACAGGTGAAGAGAACTCACCTGAGGTGTGAAGAGTTTGCTGTTGGACAGGAAGGCTTTGCGGAACACTTTGATGATGAGGTCGAGCTCACGCAGGTACTGCCGCTCCTCTGCGATCTCTAGACGTACCAGGTCATCGTAGGTGAGCTCACCTGTGGAGGAGACCTCCTCTACACACTGAGACACCAACCCCACCTCCTCTTGGTCAAACATGTCCATCAGCACCTGACAAACAAACACAAACGATCAGAAACCAGACACTGAGAAATATCTACACATTTAATTCCTGCAAATATCACAAACGAATGTTATCAGAAGACAGTAAATAAATGACCTCTGAAGGGCAAATTAATGTTGCATTTTGTTCTTTGCGTTTATTTTTCCACTTTTTTAATGTTCATTTTTTATCGTTATTTACTTTTAAGATGTGTTGTAAAGCACTTTGAGCTGCTACTTGTATGAAAGCTGCTCTTTAAATGATGTTAATCATTTCCATTATTACCTTTTATGACTATTATTATTATTAGCATTATTATTATTATTACACCACATGCACTTTGGGGTTAAAATAGTCTTATACAACCGCAAACATAAAACACTGAATGACATAACACCTTTGAGTTATTGCATGAATTACGAGCATGTTTTTACCAAAACGTAATGATGGAGTAAAGTTTAACCACCCACAACATTCAACAAATACATCCAGGCAGGTTATAATGTTTCATGCGTTCTGTTGTTTATGAGGTTTAATCATAAGATGGAAAAAACAGCCCAAGTGTGGGAGAACACTGTGCCACCACGTTAGTGAAATATTAAGTGAGTTTCTAAATTAGGTACAATGCTCTCTTCTCCTCCTCTCTGCCCCATGGAGGTGTATGGGAGATTATTTTTGCACCGTCTTACTTTAGGAGCATGCATTCCAAAAAAACACATCATTAAAAAAACACAAAACAAACAAAAAACAGTGAAATACTCCTTCAACAGTGGAATTTGACTTTGGTATGATTAATGTTTATATGATGTTTAAAATAAAATATCATTTTAATGTGTTTTTAATATCCCTTTAGCAGAAAGGACTTCACAGGATTCATTTTAAACATCATTTTAACTGGACAGAGGTAGATTTCTGACCTTGTCTGCACACATGGACACTTTAATGTCCTGCTGGCTAATTTCATAGTGCCGAATGTTGCCCACGTAGTTTCCTGCCAGTTTAAGAATGTCTGCTGATATGTACTCCAAAACAGCCACGATGTAGAGAGAGACATGGTAGTCTATCTTGTATCCCAACACCTCCTGTGGAGAGAAAACACATCAGTAAGCATGTTCATCTCTAGGACCACTTTAAAAAATAAATAAATAAATAAAAGCACAACATACACAAAATAACGTTCAATGATCACCTATTAGATTTACACAGATTTGCTGTAAATAATCCACTCACTATTCAGCATATGAGCATGTTATTCGGTGAGTGTTCATAGGAGTTCATGACATGATAGTGGTTGCAAAAAGCGAAAGGAAAAAACGAGCCAAGTTTCCTTTCAGCTTCCAAATTAAATTCAAGCAAACAACTGTGTATGTCAGTTTATAGAGGAATGTTAATGTTGAGCAGCTTTTTATTGCTGTTGTGTTCAAATGAATGGCTGTATTTTACATCATTAGAGCAGGAAGACAGAACACACTGGCTACCATAACAGCTCAGAAATGTTTTAAATTCTATAACTCAAAATCTGCATTTTGACATATTGAGTTAAAAAGACTCTCTTTGGCCTGGCAGTCATGTGCTTCATATATACAGTCATTATGACTGTCTGGATGGAGAATCAAACCTCCTGTGAATGGGGTGGTGAAGTTATCCCTCCATTTGTGCGAAGACAGGGGAATTCTAGCTAATACATTAGTGCTTTAATGTGTGCACGAGCTAAAAAATATCTGACCAATAATGACAATGAAAATTTCCTATTTATCAGCGAAGAACACATCAGTCGCCAATATATTCTGCACCTTTAATGCTTATTACACTTAATGAAACTGTGTGTGTCTTGCCTTCAGTAAAGGGTGGATTTTGTCCACGGGAAGCAGTAGAGGGTTCCGGCGTTTGCGTTTTTCTATGGCTGCCTGAGCATCAGCCATTGCCCACTTATCTATGGGGTAAGGAAACGTCTTCTGGATGCGCTCCTGAATAAACACACACACACACACACACACACACACACACACACACACACAATAACAATAAACTTTATTTATATATTATGCTTCATGAAAGTACAAGCTTAAATAAATAAAACAATGAAAATTAAGAGTATAAAAGTCCTCATATGAAATGAAACTTGACGGCTATGTTGCATCGCTGCTGGGCAGTTATTCCACTCGTACAACACCTGACTCCTCTCTTTTTGAATGGAGAGAGACCTAAATGTGCATGCACGTTGTCTCTGCAACTGAAGGGGGCTTTTCCTGCTAGCAGCTTAAACAACAAGCCAATTGGCTCTTTTTATTCAAGGGTGGGACTTTGCTCAAAAACAGATGCCATGCTAAGTGTTAAGAGCTTTCCCAATCATATTTCAAACAGCATCCTCCTTTATAACGTCTCTGGTATAACTTAGGCAGAGACAGTAACACAAACAGAAGTATCAAAGCAGATCTTCAGTTTTTTTAATTAAAAAGAAATGTGTACTGAGCTTAACTGTCTAAATTAAAATGGGATTGTGTTTCACAGTTTAGAAAAACAAATCTTCACCTTTTCTTTAATTTGCATGTGGAATTTGCAGAGGAATCTTTTTTTAAACTACAGACAGAATCTTTAAATATATAAGCTATACTCAAGACAAACAGAAAAGCTCAAAACAACTGTTAACATTTAAAAGACAGATTAAAATGGCAACATGCAATTCAAACTATAAATAAAAACAGATAAAAGCAACAGTTTTGCTTTCAGTCTTCAGGTCTCTTGCAAGATAACTATCAAAGCCATAAACGTGTGTGTGCCCTTTTATGGGCAACAAAAGAACTGTGTATGTGTGTGTGTGTGTACCTCTACATCTGGGACGGTTCTGGGCTGACTGACACACAGCATGTTCAGTAGCTGCAGTATGAGCTCCTCTATGTGCTGCAGGGCGTCCTCTTTAGCCGACAGGTTCGGATGCACCTGCAGCTGCACCTGCAGAGAAAACGGCGCGGCAGCGTTAAAGCACGGGCGCGTTCTGTGAGTCTTTTCACTCACACTGTTCATCAAAGCCTTTTACTTCTTCAGTAAAATTAACAGATCAGAGCAACGAGGTTGTGTCACGATAGCAACGCTCTGCTCCTTTTTTGTTGTATGATGCAAAGCACTTCACAGAGCAGGCGGCATCACCACACACTCACACACACGCACTCACTAACAGCACACTCACTTACACACACTCTCATGCACTCATGCTCGCTCACTCACTCATTCTCACTCACTCTCACACACACATTCTCGCTCACTTTCGCTTGTTCTCACTCACTTGCTCTTTCGCACTCACTCACAAAAAATACTTTTACTGTCCAAAAACACCCACATATCTCCATTTTTTCTATTTTTAGTTTTCTACATCGTTTGAGTTCGGCAGCTGTCCTTTGTGCACAAATTTCATGTAGAATGGACCACCAGAAATGCTCCAAAACTGCCTGGAACAAAATCTCTTTACATTAACTTACATCACAGGTATAGAAGTATTTGCCTTCTTCCACAAAGCTGCCATTCTGGAGACACCTGCTTTCTTTGGACAGCCGCGATACATAAAAATAAAGAGGTTTGTGCTCATGATTTTTTTCTGTGTGCTCCTGTACTGTTGATATCAGAAGTGCTCCTTCACAAAAAGTCGACTAGAACTCTGAATACAAAGCCATATTTTTTATATCATCCATTTCATTTTACCCATCACCCATCCCTACTCAACACTATTTCAGGTGGAAAATAGTAGTCTTTATTACACTTATATCTCTCTCTCTCTCTCTCTCTCTCTCTCTGTAGGGATGTGGCCTGTTACTGGAATGCAGTTTGTTAAGATTCTGCAGTAAAACAAGAGGCTGGGGGGGGGGTGTTGTGTAGAAACTGAAAGAGAAGTGGTAGCTGCGTTGTGTTGTCATAGAAACAGCTGGACATATATTGTCCATGCTATCGTAAAGAAAAACTTATTTCTCTAAAACAGCAATTTTACAGGAGAAGAAACAAAAATTCTTCTTAACTTTAATTTACTAGATCGGTATCCATGCCGACTTGATCGACATCCACATCTGACAGTGTTTCTTAACTCTTTAACACCATCACAAAAAAAAAGCTACTTCTGCAGTTTAATCTAATCTTCTTTAATAACTGTTGTCGCATTTATTGTCATAAGTTAAGAACAGATACACATTTTCAGAATGATGAGAACTGCAGGATAAAAAAAAACACGATCTTCATCATTACCAGACAAACAGACAATCAAAACAGACAGCAGAAGACTAAATGTATGTAATATCTGAAGAGCTTTAGATCTGTAATATCTGCTCAGATCAAATTAAATGGCCTGTATATGTTAATATACCTTTACAACTGATATATGTAAATGAGGTCTGTTCTGACTGGTAGCCCTGTATTGTGTCTAATTCTAAAAGCAGTATAGACTGAAACACTCCTTATAACTTAACTAAACTGCTGTAGGCTGAATGGGTGGGGCTAAACTGCTGTAGGCTAAATGGGTGGAGCTAAACTGCTGTAGGCTGAATGGGTGGAGCTAAACTGCTGTAGGCTGAATGGGTGGAGCTAAACTGCTGTAGGCTAAATGGGTGGAGCTAAACTGCTGTAGGCTAAATGGGTGGAGCTAAACTGCTGTAGGCTGAATGGGTTGAGCTAAACTGCTGCAGGCTAAACTACCTTAGGCTGACTGGGTGAGGCTAAACCACTGGAAGCTAACAGATATAGGGCTATATCTGAAGGAGTTGCTTTTTGTGACATCACAAAACAATGAATTTAAAACAGGCTGTTTTTGCATGTTAGTTTCCATTAGGTTAAGAGATAACAAGACAAACAAACACACACACACACACACACACACACACACACACACATGAGCACACACACACACATGAGCACACACAGACGAGAGAGAGAGACAGGCTGTACAGTCCTGCTCTCTGCGCTGGTGTCTGGTTTCAGGCTTTCTTCCATTAAGCACTGAGGCATTCTCCATAGGGACACCCAGAGCATGCATACACACACACACACACACACACACACACACACACACACACACACACACACACACACACTCCAGGGACAGGGCATGATAGCAGCAGACAGTGGTGTATTGATGTGTGGGATAGAAGGATCGGTAGAGAGGATGAAGAGAGAGCATGGAGGGATGAAAAAGGAGTGCAGGAGAGAGTGCGCGTGAAGTGTAGGCATGTACACACTTTCCTATTCTAGGATCCCCTTTCTGAAAATGAAATATACAATTATACAATAATATAAATGTACAATTACAATTTAATGTTCATCTTTTCAGATACAGGGGCTGCGATATGATACACACTGTGAATCTAATACAGTTTTCAGTTTTCAATTCAGTCCCGTCACAATTATTTAAGCTGACTGCAATTATTTGGCACAATTGTTAGCTTTCAGAATTATACTTTTATGTAGCAACAAACAGAATGTGAAACGGGGGGGTTATGAATTTAAAAGTAAATTTTTTGAGACATGTATTCTACAAAAAAGACTAGGCTAAAGTTCTAATCTCTGACTGAAAACACCTTTAGAGGGCAGTAAAACCGTTACACTCCTAACTTCCCCTGTATTACATATCACATATTATTATTTTTATTATTGTATATTATACGATTACATATTTAATATGTACAGCGGACTCATAACGTGTGACACACCAGTCTACTCTTGCCTGATTGGCTAAACGCAATGTGGTGGCCACGCTCATTTGCATAAAGTTGAGATCAGCTGAAATTTTTCACCACAATGCAAACCATCATGTGCGATGCAGCGGAGCTCTCCTTTGAAATGAACAGGATTCAGTGAGGCAAAGTTGCAAGTGGACACGTACCGTTACTTTAATGTGTGTAAAAAAAAATGTCTAATAAAACTTGAAGCTACTATCACTTAAAAATACTGCAGAACCATGACGCTCGTGAGGCTTCAAATAAGGCTGTAAAGACTGCTCAATCTTTAGACTCCAGTCTCACGAACTTCAGATCTACATTCTGTGATGTTCACAGAATTTCATCAGGTCTAAGCGGCTGGACTCCAGGGCTGCAAGCGTATAAAAAGGGAATAGGGAATGGGAATTGAATCTGAGTGTTCACAGTTTTTGTTAGTATTTTTTTTTAATATAGCACTACTACTTCTTTTTTCTCAGTCCCAACTGACCATATGTGTGAAAAAACACAAATTGTGACGTATTGTGTATGCTGAAATTTGTGAAAATTGTGAAAAGTACTGCAGTATTAAACTTGTGCCATACCACCCGCCTCTAATTTTATACAAATAACTGACTCTAAATGTAGGTATTGTAATATAAACTGAGTCTGTTCTGCAGTTTCTCATTAGGCTGAATGAATAACCGGCTCTAAATGCAGGTACTGGTGCTGTGACCACAGTAGAAAGTATGAATATTTGGGCGGAGCCTGGACAGGTCATTTAGAAGGTATTCACAACAATAGGTTTCTACAGTCTCTGCATTTTAAAAAGTAATTTAAAGCTATGCATGAGACTCAGACTCAGACTGACCAGCACAGACAGACACACACACACAAATCTTTTTCTCTATGTATGTGCGCGCTCAGGTTGCTGGTAACATGAGCACATGTGTGCATGATGTGACTCACTAAGCATTACATCACCTACCATCTCTTTATCAGGCTTACACACACAGAAAAAGATGGTTTCACTATGTGTGTGTGTGTGTGTGTGTGTGTGTGTGTGTGTTAATGCATTAAGTACAACCCTATCTATGCTGACAGAATTCATATGTACATAGAGAAGGAAGGGAGGGAAGGATAATCTGCATTTTAATCTAAATTACTCCAACTGGTACTAACTGCGCTATGCTACTTCTGAATGCAGTCTGAACGTCAAACACACTGAAATCTCATGATAAACAATATGCTTTTCTGAGCTTATCATGCATTTCATCACTACTTAAAAACAACTGCATGTTTTATTAGAAAGACAGCATAATTAGTAGAAATGCATCGATATGTGAATTGCAGGTCAATGCTGATATCCTACGCCTGGGCAATATGATAATATATATCGTTATCATGATAAATAATGTCAAAATACAATACAGTATGCTTTTCTAAGCATATCGTGTAGATCATCAGTACTTGTAGAACACAATGAATAAAAATCAATGTATTCACAGTTTTTGATTTTTTTTTAATGTAGCACTACTGGCTCTTTGTTCTCTGATTAGATGTCTGAAAAAATAAATATCGTGACATATCAGGCATCTAAAATTTCTTGAAGTATTGCAATATTATATTTCTGCCATATTGCCCACCTCTAGTTGTAATTTCTTCGTTTTATTATTGCTGTTACGTATTTTTTCATGTGGCACTACAGGTTTTATTTTGTTTGTTCCAACTTACTATATATGAGAAAAGCTAAACATCATGTATCATGAAAAAGTACAGAAATATATAATACTTTTTGCCAACATAGGCAACACCTACGATTTCCAATATTTTTCATGTATATATCTGCCAATGTCTATATGTAAACATTTGTAAAATGCCGTAATTGTAACAAGATCTATTGGATTAGCATTATAGAGAAATAAAATGTATTTGTATAGGGTTACAGATGCAGTAAAATGCAAATATTTTAATGACGTCGCACAAAATCACCTATATGTACAATAAATACATCGGTTTGAAATTAGTTCAAAATTAGGAAAATTAGTGCTGACTTTGCTGTCCAGTGGAGTAAATGAGATTAATATAAATATATATTCAGTTTGATTTCTATAGGCTAGTATGACCAATATATCGGTCTGTCTTTAACAATGGCTGATATCGATGACCCGTGACTTTACTGGTATCTGAAAAAATTAGCGGCAATGAAGTTTTTGGCCTGACCAGGATTCAAACTTGCAGTCCTGATGGGGCCAAACCTCAGAAGTGACCCCGTACACC